CGATAGAAAATTTTCACTGGGAAGTTAAGTTTGCTACCGAACAAAGGTTACCCAACCGTTCACGAGCACAAACCACTAGAGGGTTGTTAGATATTCCTTCGCTCGATAGGATAAATTCCTGAGGGGAAGTAAAGTTTTGTTACCAAGTTGAGGATTATCTAGCAATTCATTAGTGGAATCTTCGAAGATACAAGACTTCTAGTGTTCCAATTCGCACTCTTTGCATTCAAACACTGGGGGGAATGATCAAAGGATACGACAACAATGACTGCCATATCAATCGGGGAACAAAAATCCGGAAACTGAACACATCATCGGGACCGGGGACTACGCAGCCAACCCCGTAGAAATAAGTTGTATAAGATAGCCACAAGTAAAGGCAATTTCTTTTCAGCATAGCAAATGCTAATGTATTTTTTGAAAATAGAAGGAATAAAATGAAATCTTTTTGTTTTTATCTTGTTTCTTGTCTGAACGATAAATAAACTTTATTATTTGAAAGTTGAACAAGTACTTCAAATGTTAGTGCCGTAATGAACATGAGACGTACTCTTCAAGAGCACCGTAAACATAAGAGGGCCCTCTCTTATAAAAATCCTCACATTAAATGGTTGGTTCCGGAAGAATCTATGCCCGGAATCAAAAATTCCTTCGGGGAAAAATACACCCGAAGCCACATAAAAAAAGGACGCAAAAAGTAAACTTGTGCAAATACTTATAAAAACCCTCACACTAAAGGGTTGGTTCTGAAAGAATCTATGCCCGGAATCAAACATGCCTTCGGGAAAAAATACACCCGAAGCCAAATATGAAAGGGACGTAAAAAGTAAACTTGCACAAATACTTATATAAACCCTCACGTAAAAGGGATAATTCTCGGAACCAGAGTGTTTCAAGGAAAACACATTCGAGACCACACATAGTAAAACGCGAACAGGAAAATGTGCACAGAACTCTTGAGAAAATGCAAAGATTAAAGACTTGCATGGATATTCAAACGAAAGTAAGACTCAAATGATACTTGAGAAAAAAATATGTCTTTATTTACAAGAACGTGCCAAAACGATAAAAGTTCAAAATGGGAAAAAGAAAAGAAAAGCTAAACTGCAGCGCCTCCGGAACTAGGGGAAGAGCAGTGTCCGCATTCCTGGGAGAAGTAGGTGGGTCCACCGATGGCTCGACATTTTCCCCAGTTTGGTCTTCAGTATCATCACCTTCCGATCCCTCTTCAGTTTTCGAAAACTCTGAACCGGAAACAAAAGAACCAGGAGCATCAGACTGCGTTGGGAGTCCATTTTTAGCAGCTAACTCAAGCTCTCAGTCCTTAGCTATTTTGGCATCAAGGTTGATGATACCAGCTTCGGCCTCCTCTAAGGTCTTTCTCTTCATGCTGTACATAACGTAAGTTTTTTGAACAACGAGGGAAGACTCTCGTCCCTTAAGATCTTCCTTGAGTTGGGTAACCTCGGCAGAAAGGCTTTTGCGGGCGGATCTAGCAGATTTGAGGCTGACGTAAAGATCGCGAACAGTTGAACTAAAGGGCCTATTATGCTCGATATTTTTCTTGTACTTCTCTTCTAGATGGGTGTGTTTCACCCCCACAGCAGCAAGCTCTTCGATTTTGGAGTTCAAGGCTGCTTCTAAGTTAGTTACTTTTTCGGCAGTAGTAGCCTCGCACTCGGTTGCAGCAAGAACGGCGTCCTGAACTTCAGCCCATTTTGCCTTAGCTTCATCAAATGTAACCCTCATCGGGCCAATTTCTTGTCTAAGGGTTACCACCTCTTTCTCGCTTTGCTGCAAATGAGCCTCCAAAATAATGACCTTAGTAGCTTTGGTTTCCAGTTCTGATAGGCGGAGAACAGTTTGGTCTCGTTCCATCAAAAGTTGATTCCGTTCAGAAGTAAGTTCTTCCTTTTCACGAATAAACCTTTGAAGGCCCTCAAAAGCAAGAAAGTTATCCTACAAGACAAGAAGAAGTAAAACTTAGAATACATTCATACAAAAGTAGAAGAAGTAATGAAGGAAGAAAAGAACGTACCGATGCGGCGTTGTGCATGGCATTGTTCAGCAAGCACTCTCCCGAGATTGCCTAAATTTTTTCCCAGTCTTTTTTTGAAGCCAAAGGCTTCAGATAATTAGCAATCTCCACCGGCGGGATAGCAAGTTATATCCGGTAGAGACCTAAAGAGTAATGTTCCTCCTCCTTTGTAGATCTTAAGAAGGGGCATCATAATTTTGCCCCAAATTCCCATGAACTTGGGACTGTGGAAGAGGAACACCTTCTTCATGGTCAGAGGTGACAGATGGAGGTGATGTAGCAAATGTTGGTGGAAGAATGCATGAAGATGGAAGTGATGTAGCAGTTGCTGATGTTGGTGAAGGTGGAGATGAAGCTGATGGAGTTGAAGAGTGAGAAGCATCTGCATCAAATGCAATGATGGATGTTGGATGCTTGCCAACCAAAGACGGCATGGATCCGGTACTCAGCCCTGTAGCACCGATTATAACAATTGGGGACGAAAATGGGAGTTTGCATATTCTACAAAATCAGATTCTCCCCAAAGTGTCGAGACATCATCTTCAGTTGGTGTAACTACCTCAATAGGTCGAGCATCCTGTTGAGATGATGAGGATCGTCGCCTTCTATGTAGAGAAGCTCCCTCATCATTAGCTTCATCATCATCATCATCAATCATCACGGTGTCTATGACCGGCCCGGAAGGAGGACCAGTCATCATCGCCACCGGAGATGGTTCGGGGGCATCAGTGTTTGCCCTCTTATTCTTCTCCCCGGCCACGGAGGAACGTCTTCTCTTTGTTTGATTATCCTCCTGTCGGGGACTCCGTAAAGAAGTGTTTGCTCTCGAAAAAGGCCCGAAGATACCTTTTCGAGTAAGTGCTTCCTGCAGCATCCTTGCTGCATCAGCAGGTTCAGCCAAAACGTCCTCATCGGGGACATCAACAGAGCCTGCAAGTAGACCTAATTTTGTGAACAAATCAGAACGGTTCAACCAAGTCCTCCATATACAAAACAAATGGAAGCAAGGTAAATTAAAATTATTTGTGTGGGGGATTTCTCCTTCGGATTTGAGTCTTCTATGTTGATTGTAGTCCATGTACGCGAGGTGACGAGTGCATACTCGGACTTATTTATAGAAAGTTTGTCTTTTAAGGTTCTTAGGTCCTTATATTCACTGAGTAGGAAGTTGTTCTTGATAGGATTAAGTTTCTATTTACTAGTTTCACCTCTACATATTTTAATTTGAATTAATTTCTTCAGGATTCACTCTTATTGCCTATTTTACTCTTATTTGACTTAACTGAAGATTTTACCTCTTTTATTGTCATGCTATCGTTTCATAACTGCTTATCTTTATTTGAAATTATTATTATCTCATCCTAAAATTGTTCAGTATTAATTGAGGTTATGATTATCTTTTCGCTGCTTATCCTCAACTGAATTGTTGAATATCCTTAGAAATTTCTCAACTTTAAAAGGAATTTAGATATCCTACATCTTAGTCAACTTATTTTATTTGGAATTATTTGACTCGTGTTAGCTTCCCTGTTATTGAAATGTATATTGTGGGATCGTTGCTACATATTAGGTTTTCCTTGTTGAGTTATTCTCTTTACGCCTACCATCCTTTACTGTGGTTATTCCTTGTGAATTGGTTCTACTGTTTCTTTGTGATTTAAAGTTCTTGAGTTGATTTACTTGTCGTACTTTGTATTATTGTCATTGTTGTTGTTGTACTTGTTGTGGTGTTGCACGAGGTTTCTGCCGTACGGTTGTTATTATTGTGATGCACGAGGTTTCTGCTGTGCGATTGTGGTTATTTNGCTGGTATGGACTATGTTAGGACACTTGCACAAGCATACACGTAGTTAAGCACCCTTATCGGATCAGAGGTGTTCTTGATATTGTTGAGCATATATGCTCACCCTTGTTTACTTACCTTCTATGTGAGAATGGCTCTATTAGTACGCGAGTCGTCAGTGCGGTTATGAGGTGTTATGAGGGCACAAGATGCCAAGTGTTAGGGTTCTGGTATTGAAACCCATGAGTTGTGATTTGTCCGAGGTTCGATACCTCATGGAGTTTGTTGACTAAAACCTGATATAAAAGCGGTTGTAGTTGCTGAGTTCTTACTTGTCCCTGCTGTATTTGTGATTCCGGAATTAGGTTGTGTTCCATTCACTTTTCTGTGTCATTTTTTATGGTATTCCGTTAATACATGTTGTTTCCTTTCTTGTTGCAATTACTGCATTGTGAGCCATATTGCATAGTCTTTATGTAGATATCATATTTCTAATGTTCTTATACTTATACTTGTTTAGTTTATTAGACCAGTGGGTGTCTTGACTGTTCCTCGTCACTACTCCACCGAGATTAGTCTTGATACTTATTGGGCACCGCTGTGGTGTGCTCATTCTATACTTTTGCATATTTTTGTGCAGATCCAGGTTTTTGTTCGATAGTAGCTATGCGGGTCGTTGCTGTGGAGACTCAAGGTAAACCTGCTGCTGTGTTCGCAGGCTTCGGAGTCACCTTCAAGTTTTTATTTTGCACTGTTTATTCTTATTTCTGGACAGTTGTATTTAGAAGTTTCTAGCAAACACTCTGTAGAGCTTATGACTTGTACTATCGGTTTTGGGAATTGTAAATTTTAAGAGATTTCTATTTCAAAATGTTGGATGTTATTTAGATAATGTTGTTGTTTCAATTAGTGTTAGGCTTATCTAATCCCTAAAACTAGGTGCCATCACGATACCCAAACGAAGTGAAATTTGGGTCGTGACAATTTCTTTTCCTCTTCCAATATGGGACGAAGTTCCTTCGCGGAAGAATCTTTTTTAAATTTTCTTTGCGGTCCATTTTCCATTCACACCACAAATCCAATAAAAAATTCAATAATATTTTAACAAGTTTTATTGTTTTTCAAAGTAAAAAGGTTGATTTTGTGAGATGTCTAGACCACTAAATAGAAATTCTTATTTCATGCTCAATTTATAACAAACTGAAATTATATGCTTTAGTTCCGGCTTTCGCTTCCCACTTCATAGATTTAGTACATTGTTCACAAGCCAGTTGGACCAACTTTGAAGCTTGATTTGTAAAAATGAACAGAAGACACAGTAATTTTCTGTATTGTACAAAGGAATGGGACCGTGATTTTTGGTTCATCTTTTCAGACTCTTGGATCTCTGTTCTTTATTCTTTTTGCTATTCTTTTTCCTTCGCTCTGCCGTCTGCCCCATCCTTTTCTGTCAGGTAAACAATAATCTTGTGTAGAACCTCTGTTTCGATTGTTTCAAGTGAATGTACGCTAAAGAATATGACATGAAGGCCTCGACGGTTCATCTGTTCGCAGAGAGTATTATTTTTCCTTTAAATTATGAAAATTAAAAAAAAAAGAAGGGCGGAAAGGATAAAAAGGGAATCTAAAAGGGTAAGAAAAGCTGATGTCGTAATTATTTCTCGGGGTTAAATGGGTACTTCTCTTATTTAAAAGTGTCATAATAATAGGAGAAATTACATATAAAAGCAATTATTTATATTTGGGCTGCGGAAGTTCGGATAGAGAAAAGGAATACGGTATATTCGTACGGTTTGGTGTAAATATAAGCTGGGGATAATTTTTACCAAATAAACAATTTTAATCATTGAGTTATTATTCTAATTTTATTAAAAGGATAAAAATAAAAACAATCCAATTGGACCTCTGCAAGTCGAACAAGGTTGTACATACCCTACTGGTCTTCTAAGTAATCTCGGCTCAATCAGATCAGGCTCTTATAGCAGAAATTTTAATCTTTATTAATCAAGCGCAAAAGAATTTAAAGATCAGTTTCATTCTGCTTGTTTGACTTATTTCCCGCCTTATTAAATCACGTTGCATTTTCTTATTTGTGAAATCATTTTGATCCTCCAATTTATCTTAAAAATCAAACTTCATCTCCAACAATAAACAGTATACATTCTGCTTTCTTGAAACTCAATTATATTTTTAAAATGCCAATTTTATCCTCACTTGATCGATTTATTTTTACTTTTTTAATATCACGATATTTTTCTTAATTTATGTTATAAATTTACCTATAGTAAATAATTTTCTAAAAAAATTTAATTTTTTTTATAATCAATCATATATAATTTATTGAAATTGAATAGTTAAAGAAATGGACATAATTAAAAAATAGAATAAAATATCTTGTTAATATNTATATTTATATTTATATACACATATGTGTGTGTGTGTGTAATAAAGAATAAAAGGAAAATTAAACTTAAATATGTACTTAATTTTAAAGTAACAATGAAAAAGAATAACGATAAATTTTGTTACAAATTCATAAAAGTAAAATTCGAGTTAAATTTTATTGAGCTTTAATTATAAAATTCATAATGAGATATTTAGCTAAGTGTTTTACCAATTTAAATATAATAAAAAAATTCTATGTATAGAGGAGGAAATATCAAGGGTAAAATACACGATGCATATAATAGGAGGAGCAAAATGTCCGTTTTTACTGTTGGAGGAGGAATTTGATTTTTAAGATAAACTTGGGGAATCAAAAAGATTTTCATCCTTTGCTATTCTCGTGATACTTTCCTTTTTTTTTTTCTTCCTTTTTTGCTAAAGGTGATACATTCCTCAAAGGAGAATTATTCATTTTCCTATTCTTTTTGCATTCTTTAGAATATAATATGAATTTGATTGGAAATCCTCAAATACCATATTGTACTCCTTCCGTTTCAGTTTATACGAACTTATTAATTTTTTTGGTATATTCAAAAAAGAATGACCTCTTTCTAAATTTGAAAATAATTTAGCTTAAACTTTTAATTTTACCCTTAATAATAAGCTTTTAGAACTATACAAATACTCTGGACCCTTTTTGACATGTTTAGGAGTACAAATTTCAAAAATCTTTATTTATTCTTAAACTCTGTGCCCATTCAAACAATGTGAGTATTAATTATAGGTTCACGTATAATTCTGTTTTGGATCACAATAAAACCGTCAAAGTTTAACATATACATATACAGCACAATTCCTCAACAGCATGTATAAGATAAAAAAATAATAGTAGAAGATAGTTAACATAAATACCCTTAAATTTCTTTTGAATTAAATGTATGAACTCTCACCATGGTTACGCAAAGGGCGATACCTCGAACGAAATGGCCAAAGAGAAGCTGCAATTTGTCTAAGTCTGAAGCAACGCCGCTGTCTATTGATCCCTTCTTCAAGACAATCATCCGAGGTATCCATTTGAGTTTCAGAAGAAGCGGGCAACGGATTTCGACAAACAGGGCAAGAATTATGAAGCCTTAACCAAGGCACAATACAATCGGAATGGTATATATGTTTGCACGGCAACTCTCTTGCTTCTCCGCCTATTTTGAACCTTTCCTTACAAACAGGACATTCTGAATCATCCCTTAAGTGTTCTGGCGTAATCACTACCGTCGGAATAGAATCGATGATTGGCTCCGGTGCCGGTGCTGGACCTGGCCGATCATTTTCAGTTAATTCTTCTATTAGGTTTTCAAGGCCTGGACCTGTAAAGTAATCTCTATCGTTTACTCCTGAAGGTGGACCTAACCGCCTTTCTCTTTCTTGTAGTCGGTTAGGTCCACCGGGGAAATATTCTCCGGCTGGCCGAAGAATAATCCATGAACGTGGACGTGCTAGAATTCCACTCTCCGGTGTCCATTCATCCGTGTCATTACTTAGAAATGAGTATCGTCTTCTTGGCCTTAGCCAAGAGTCTCGTGTTCTGCGTTGTTCACGTGTAGGCCTGATAGAATCAGGTGGTACTATGGTTTCTGTCCCGTCCGATCGTCGAAAAATGGGGACTGCATTGCCACTGCTAGATCTGTTGAACAAATTAGGATCAAGCATGAGAGTTAGAGCTTCAAGAATTCTAGCTTCTGGGGAAGGATCAAATGCAGTGAAGTCCAAGATTTGTCTAGCGTTTGTCTCTTCGATGTCGCAAAGGAAGTGGCCGAAACATCGAGGACAAACTATCTCCGAAGGGTTTTCGGGCGATATTCTGACAGTGCGATGGCATTGATAACACCAGTAACGCTGGAAGTTCCTGATCCCATTATTAGGGTTTTCTCTTGAGGACATGATGTTTGGTGAAAGATTTAGTTTTCGGGGAAATATATTGAGATTTTATGAACAGAAACGAGATCAGGAGATTTATATGTAAAGTTGATTTTTGTAAAGAGAAAAACAAAAGCATTGGAGAACAAGAACGGGATTAGAGGAAAAGGGATGGCTTTCGGTATGCAGAGAAAGCGATTCTGGCTTCATTTCTTTTTCCTGCTTCTTTCTGAAGAAAAGCATCAGCCTATAGCGGCTATGCTTGTCAATAGTTTTGTTTATTTTAAACAAATTCCAATAGGAAGGAGATCTCGTCTAAATTCTATTCAGTTTCATTCTTTATGTATATTGACCGTGCAAATTTCTTTTTAAAACCTTTTGGCTTATCTACTTATTTGATTTATAAGTTAAGTGCTTATAAAACTAACATCAATCAAAAGTTATAAGTTGATAACCCAACTTATAACTTTTCGGCTTATAATCAATTTTAATTTGATCAAATTTTTTCAGTACTTCCCAAAATACCTTTTTTCAAAATAAAACTTTCAAGTAATATGCAAGCAGATAAAGCAGGATTGTAAGGACAGAAACTAAACAATAGCAGGTGTAGACAATAAATTTGCGTCGAAAAAATAATCGACACCGAAAAATATTACAACAATCGTAGTATTTTATTTCAAATATTTGAGTGTTACAATCTCTATGGTTCATCTAATTCTACTTTTCCAATATAAATTAAAGGGCCTTTGAGCTTGATCTTGAATCTATATTTGTTGTCACGGACGATGATCTTGGATTCAACTAGCACGAACTTTGATTTGAACTCGTACTCCTTGAATCTTGATTTGTTCTTCGTTCTTGAGCTTGAACTTGATTTGTACTTCGTTCTTGAGCTTGAAATTGGTTTGTTCTTCGTTCTTGAGCTTGAACTTGATTTTTGAACTTGAATTTGATTGCTTGAAGCTTGAAACTTATGGAAGAATTTGCAGCGTTTGATCCACGAGCTCTTTCTTGCTTCTTGTTATAACTTCTGGTGTCTTTTCTGGGTTATGAAGATCCCTATTTATAGTTGTGGGAGAGAAGAGTTATGATAAGAACAAACTCTTTTCGACCAATCAAATTGAAGTGTGACAAGGCCGCATTTGATTAGCTAGAACATGTCACTTGCACATGTGGCGCGATTTTATTGGCCTTTTAATGTTAATTGGCATGCCTTGTCATTTTAACACGTGGCATGATCCCATTGGTTCTTTTGTTTGACTTGGCATGCCACGTCATTTGACACGTGACACCAAACTGGGCCTCTAGGAAGATGATATCTTGGGCTTAATGAAGTGGGCTCATCATTTTAGCCCAATTAGATGGGCTAACTTAATGGATTAACACTTATTTATTTAATCCATATGTGTTGGACTTACATAACTAATCTAATTATATAGCCCAATAAATTTATTTGAACTAATATATTTTGAATTTAAAATATAGTCCAAATTATTTTACGGATTTAATTCCAATAAAATTTATATGCCTACAAATGCCCCCTACTTCAAGACTTGTCGGGGCATCTAAACTTTAAAGATTAGTCTTGAAGTATTAACTTGCTATTTCTTTAAGATTACTAATATTTTTTGTGCAAGGCATCTCCTGTATGCTAAAAGGAGAGAATAGCTCCATGCATTAGGACACATCAAATGAGAACGTGGAGGATATGTATTAATTCCATGTCTATTGATAACTTTGGTTGTCATTTTTTTGTCCACCTTAGATTCCACAATGACACCAAATATTGCCACTATAAGAAAGGTAATAACAATTCACTATTATAATGGTTGTTGCATTGTTTCAAATTCTGATAAACAATCACACAATGTGGGTCCACCGTTATAGTAGCTTTGCCTTGTAAAAAAGAGATTTCACTCTTTGATTAAGCAACAGGAAAATAGACCCGCAAGAGACAGTCCGAATCCGATACGCAATTGGCAATTCCACCGCCATTAGCAAGTTGAATCACTCCAGGAGTTCCACAATAAGTAGTCATCCCACATCGAAACCGATTTGCGTCCAGCTGCTTTGAGAAATCTATATAAGGATGCGTACTCTCCAACTTGTGAGCATCAATTCGCAGTATTTGCAAGCCACTTGAGTCTATTTTTGTGGACTCAAAAGCATTAACGTGATAATCCATGCATGAAGAAGGCAATTTCAGGGTGTGAAGGGATGGTTACTTATCCTTGTCCGACTATCAGAGAGATTACTCTTAATGTGGCCCGACTATCTGAGAGATTATTCTCAATGTAGCTTGACTATCGGATCGGAGAGATTATTCTCAAAATGACCTGACTATCGGCGATATTACTCTCAATGTGGCTCGACTATCAGAGAGATTACTCTTAACGTGGCCCGACTATCTAAGAGATTATTCTCAAAATGACCTGACTATCGGCGATATTACTCTCAATGTGGCTCGACTATCAAAGAGATTACTCTCAAAATGACTTGACTATCGGAGATGTTACTCTTAATATGGATCGACTATCGGAGAGATTACTCTCAAAATGACCCGACTATCGGAGAGATTACTCTCAATGTGGCTCGACTATCAGAGAGATTACTCTCAAAATGACCCGACTATCAGAGAGATTACTTTCAATGTGACTCGACTGTCGGAGAGATTATTCTCAAAATAACCCGGCTAACAAAGAGATTACTCTCAAAGTGACCCGACTATTGGAGAGATTACTCTCAATGTGGCTCAACTATCGGAGAGATTACTCTCAAAATGACCCGACTATCGGAGATATTACTCTCAATGTGGCCCGACTATCAGAGAGATTACTATCAAAACGACCCGACTATTGGAGAGATTACTCTCAACGTGGCCCGACTATTAGAGAGATTACTCTTAAAATGACCTGATTTTCGAAGAGATTATTCTCAATGTGGCTCGACTATCAGAGAGATTACTCTCAATGTGGCTCGACTATCAGAGAGATTTCTTTCAATGTGGCTCGACTATCGGAGAGATTACTCTCAATATGGCTCGACTATCAGAGAGATTACTCTCAGTGTGCCCCGACTATCAGAGAGACTTACATGTCCACCTTAAGATTGGAAAGTATAGCTTCCTTTTAAGGACAAACCCATGAAGAGGCCAACTTAATATGCAAATGGACTTATATGTCCACCTTAAGATTGGAAAGTTATAGTTTTCTTTTATGGACAAACCCACGAAGAGGCCAACTTAAGGTGCAAAGGGACTTATATGTCTACCTTAAGATTGAAAAATTATAAAGGCTTAACTCGAAGACTTCGTGGACTTGACGACGTCGATTCGAACACTTGGAAAACTTTGTAGATTTGGCAGATTTTTCATACTTCAACTTGAAGACCGACAAACTTGAAGATTTGTTGGACTTGAAGATTCGGCGGACTTTGACACTTCAACCCGAAGACTTTGAGGGTTCAAATACTTCCACTTGAAGACCGGCGAGTTTGAGGACCTCAACTTGAAGACTTCAACTTGAAGACTTGGAGGCTTAAATATTTCGACTTGAAGACCGAAGAACTTGAGGACCAGCAAACTTAAAGATTTGGTGACCATGAAGACATAGTGAACCCCTGGATTTCAGTGCAGATACTTGGCATCCTCCTAAAATCGTCCCATTGAAGATACCAATTTACCATGGAGGGTTGCCCCCTTTAAATAAAATAGGATCCAGAGTTTAACAGAATGGTATCTCAGCTCGATTTTCAAGTGCTGATTGAATGAATTACACTCCATCGTACTTCATTCGGACAACGATTGGGGGTTATGTATCTTTTAAACTTATGGGACTGAACTCAGAATGAAACTCTAAGCTGCCTATGTACCTCGATGAAGAGGATCAAGTCATACCGTAGTTTAGAATGGGTGGATATTTTTTATTTTTTTATTTTTTTATTTCCTAACTTTTTCCTAGGCCGCATCTTTCGAGGCTTTCAACCTGGTGGACTTTTTTTTATATTTGTTTTGACGTCCTACCTTTTGCCTAGGCTGCCTCTTTTGAGGTTTTCAACCTAGCGGTCCTTTTTTTTGGTGGTGGGCTGTACACAATTTAGACTCATGCAGGCCAGGAGTGTTGGAACATGCAGTTTAGGCTCATGCATCAAGGAGAGTTGCAACTTCAAGGATAATACTTCTTCAAAAACTTGCCATTGATAAGGCCGATTCTCATTCCATCTGCATCAACCAGCTTGTAAGCCCCACTTGAGTAAGTTTCTTGTACGACATATGGCCCATCCCATTTTGAAGTGAACTTCCCTATAGGTTTATGGGAAGTAATAAAGGGTCTTCGAATGGCAAGGACTTAATCTCCTACTTGAAAGGATATCGAGCGAACTCTTTTATTGAAGGCACGAGACAATCGAGCTTGATAACATTCAAGACTCTGTTGAGCTTCCAACCTCCTCTCATTAAGAGCCTCCAACTCTGCTAATCGAAGTTAAGCATTTTCTTCATCAGTGATTCCTTCTTGAATAGCCAGTTGTAATGAAAGTATATGACACTCGAGTGGCAAGACAACTTCGACTCCATAAACGAGTGAATAAGGAGTCGCTTGTGTTGGCGTGTAGTGAGTCGTCCTATATGCCCATAGAGCTTGTTCCATACGGTCATTCCAATCTCGTTTGGATTTGGAGATGACTTTCTTTAACAAGTTGCATAGAGTTTTGTTGAATGACTCAGCTAGACCATTGGCGGCCGCATTTGTACATTGAAGAGTTACGTTGCTTGAAGCCAAAGAGACAAATCTTGTTCATCAACCTATTACCGAATGGCTTTCCATTATCCGTTATTATGTAACGAGGAATGCCAAAGTGATAGATTATGTTTACTCGGATGAAACTTGAAACATTTTCCTTCTTTACCTCCTTAAGAGCAATAGCTTCAGCCTATTTCGAGAAGTAGTCAGTTGCATCCAAGATGTATAGGTGCCCACCATAGGACTTTGGCAGTGGTCCAACAACATCCAATCCCCAAGTGTCAAACGACCAGGATGCCGCAGTCGGGTGCAACACTTCAGGAGGTTGATGAATAAAATTCGCATGGAATTGACAAGCCTTGCATATTCAAGCATTGTCCAAGAAATCTTTTACCATCATTGGCTAATAATATCCCAT